GGGTCACTTTGCAGTTTGATTCCCTCTTCCCAGATGTTTGATGCCCCAGCCTGGATTTCATCCACCTGTTTAATGCCAATGATGGTTTAGAAGAACACTGGACTGGGATGCCACAGGTCTGTTCTTGTCTCTAGCACTGGACTACCCAGTAATACTGGGAAAGCCTCTCTGTGTCACTGTGCACCTTGGTTTTACCATCCTTAAAATGGGGATAATAATATGTTTGTCCTTTGTGAAACACTCTGACAGCTACTGTAACCAAGCACCAACTCAGGGCTCTGGAGTCTCTGCCACTAACTCTGTGTCACTTATGAAGTCACTTAGACTTCTTAGAAAGGCTCAGCATGCTCTGGCAGGCCTTGATTCTCGAGAGGGCTCAGTGTGATGAATACTGAGCTGCATTGATAATCTGCCTGCCCTGGGCACAGCTGGGTTCTGGGCACTCTTGTTCCTCTATATCTGAAGTCACACTCGCTCCCTCGTTATGCTCTTGGTCATTTCTCAGGAAATGTTGAACACCACTCTTAAAATCAACGATGCTACTGCACCATTCAAAATGCAGAACAGCAGGAGCCAGGAATGGGTTAATTAATGGAGAAATTATACTGCTGCTTGATGCTGGGTTAATGTACGAGGGAATTTTCAGCATGGGCAAAAAATAATAAGCAAACTCTCCTTGGCTGCCATAATTAGTCATTAAGCTGCCATCAGCCTTCATCATGTTTCCATCTACCACTTCTTCTAAGTGATCTGAGCCAGTGTGGGGGGGGGAACTGCAGTCACCCCTGCCGAAAGCTTCCTTCCACAATGCTTTGTGCACTGCAGTCAACCCTGCCGAAAGCTTCCTTCCACAATGCTTTTAGGGCATGGACAGACATATTCACACCTATAATGGGTAATATTAGTATTAAACAATAAAAGCAGACAGACAATGTTAAAAAATTAAAGCAGACGGCCCCCCCTGCATGGGGTCACTTTGCCCAAGCTGGTGTAGAATTACCCCTGAAGGAATCTGAGATAAAAACCCACAAGTGCAGGTTACACTGGTTAAGGTCCATGTGAATCCCAGGACAGATGTCCTTACCTGCTCCCCTAAGTAGCGGCAAGGTGCAACAGTAAGTTGCCTACTGCCTGCAGCTGTGGCCTGTCTGTCCCTACACCTGATCCTAGGCTAATTTACATCAGATTGCAAAATGGGTGCAAATTACACTGAGGTCTGCAATCACCTCTCCATGCTCCATGCCTTCTCACTGGCATTTTTGGGGCCAGCTCTTGCTCCCATTGAAGCCTGTCAGTAGTCCCATTGGCTGTAGTGGAACCAGAGTTCCTTGCACTCTAGTTATCATACCAGCTGGGGCCAATCTCAGGGCTTCCTTATGGAAAATGGCACCAAGGGCAAATTTGTATTTTGGTGCCCTTTCTTTATGTGTAGTAGTATTAGTGAACGTTTCAGAAATAAAGCCCCGGGGTAGCTGCTGGGCTGGACCAGGAGACTTGCTTCTCTGAGGGCAAGCACTGCTGCTGCCGCTGTGCAGGAGCGAGCTGGGTGGACTGGAGCAGGCACCACCCTGCCCGCATGTGCCCGGCATGGCTTCTCCTAGCAGCCTCCTGGGGAGGCAGGGGCTGGGCACTGGAGAAGCACTGCTGTGAGCCAGGGCTTTGTGTGTGTGTTTGTGCATGTGCGTGTATGTGTATGTGTATGTGTGTGTAGCACCCCCCTGACCACAGCACCCTGGGCTCTTTTGGAAAACTGGCCATAAGTATCATAACAGGAGCCACTGGAAGCTCAGTCCTGGTCAAACAGGTCTTGTGTAGGTGCCACATCAGACCTGAAACCAAGACAAATTGGTCCCATCTGATCCCCACATGTCTGTGCTAGCTAAAACAGATCCTGTGACTTGTGTTTCCTTTACATGCTGTTCCTCAACTTGTGATGGGTATTTGCTTTAGGCCTTATTGATGCTGGGCCAAGAATCAAGGGCAACAATTCTTTCCAGGACACCTGGATCCCTGTGGTTTCTTTGACTCATTGCTTTAACCCTAATTCTCCCACCAGTGCCGGCCTTTGTGCTGTGCCTCACAATGCAAAATTATTTATAGCATCAGTGCAGTTGAATAGGAAGAGCCAAGGCCACCATCACCGCCGCCTCAATGAGCTGATGGGAATCGAATGAGCACCCAGAGGAAGCAGATAAAGTTGCATAATGTCTCCAAATATAGAGTCCTTGTGTTGATACCCTCTAGACAGATAGACAGGTTTCTACCTGCCTCGGCATAGCAGGCTGGATTATTCATGGGCCCAAATAGATGACTGATTAGAGTCTTCTGGGCTTATGTTAAGGGACAAGGCAGGGAACAACTGCATTTTCGTACTGACGTCCTTCCACAGCCAATGATACTCATTCTCTTTGGCCACGTGGCTGCTCCAACAAACCCACTCTAGACTGAATATAAACTTTCTTTGAAGATCAATTTAATAACAGAAACTGGGCCCTCAGGAATCTGAACCTGCAGCTTCTCGAGCCCTTTCATCCTGATGCAGGTTACGTTGCATTAGCTTACAGATGGCCATTAAAAGTCCCTGTGCCATGTTCTCTCTCTCATTCACAGTGATGCAAACCAGAAGTGGCTCCAGTGAAGTCAGTGAAACCACTGCAGCATCAAAGCTTGGAAGCTGCCAAAATTGCTGGGGAGAGTAACTTCCAGCATCCCCTGAAACCAGCCTGAGTTATCAGGGTACATCTCCTCCCACTGAACTTTTCTCATGGCCTTTGGTACTTGGCATCAGCATAACTGACCCTCCAACACAGCCTTGCTTTGTATAGTAGCACCGAGGCCATGCCTCCCTGTGGGGAAAGGGGATGAAAGAGGTCCAGGGCAGGGATCAGGGAGGGAGGCAGAGGTGCTGTAGTTCCCTTGATGCAAACATGAAAGGGCCAGTTTGAAACTGCAGTGGGGGAGTGTGGAGGAGCCAGGATAAGGACAAGGAGGAGGGGTTTGACAGCAAAATGGCAAGGGCTAGCAAAGCCCTAAAGAGAACAGGATTAGATGAGATTTTAAAGAGGTTCCTGCTACATCCTTTCCCCCTTCTTTTGTAGTTTTATCTAGTTGCACCTTGATCCTGCAGTGAGACCCAGAAGTCAGTGGGTCTGCCCACGGGACTGCCCACCCAGATCCAACATCTGGATGAGGGCTGTGAATGGTGAGCACTTGGAGGCAGGGACCACGTCCGACATGTGTGTCATGGCAGCACTGAGCACTGCTTTGGGCACTGGGAAAATAACTTGAGATTTAAATGAATTAGCACATGTTGGCCCTGATGCTTCAAGAAATTACTTATAGGTCCTCCCGTGGGACAAGTGGCAGCATCAGGGTCTGGGCAAAAGTCACCTGTTAATAAGACGGCAGACTTATTGTGTCATTGTGACCCTTACTGGAGATGGGAGCGAGGATGCAGAACAAAAAGAAAAGCAGAGCTGCAAGTTTGAGTCTATCTGTTACCTGCTGTCACAGTTCAGAATGAGAATACAGGTACAGCAGTATACACACAGCATGTGTTTGCTCTCTGTTTTTGCTGTATATCAGGGGTGGGCAATTATTTGGGCTGGGGGGCCACTTAAGGAGTTTGATGAGCTCTTGAGGGCTGGGAGAGGGGAAGGTGGGCCTCAGCCCCCTATCACAGCTGTTTACACCACCTGGTGCAGGGGGTGGTGGCTAGGGGAGATGCTAATTGATCCTATCTGGCCCCAAGCCTGTCCACCCTGTGCCCACTGCGGGGGGCGCTGGACAGAGTGGGTTGGCAGGAGGGCAGGGTCTCCATGGAGCCCCTGTGGGCAGGATATGCTCAGCTGGGCACATGGGATGGGGCTGTGGGCCTGGAAGCAGGGTGGGCAGGTGGGGCTGGAGCCAGGATCACAGGGTGGTGACAGTGCAGGGTTGGGGCACAGGACAGAGCTGCAGTCTGCTCCCTGCATGGCCCTGCAATGGGCACCGGTTCCCTGCCCTGCGGTTCCCTGAGAGCCGCATGCAGGGACAGGGCAGGCTGTAACAGGCGGCACCTCCATGCCTGGGGGTGGCATGACCGGCCACATGTGCTATGGCCCAGGCTGCCCACCATGTCTGGGCCAGGTGGGGCCATGGGACTTGCTGCGGGCCAGATGCAATCACACTGCAGCCCAGATCCGGCCCACAGATCATATTTAGCACACCCCTGCTGCATACGGTTGTGAGGATTCCCTTGGTTTCTATGTTTTTGGATAATGTTCTCATGCATCAGGCCCATTTAAAAGAAGAAAGACCATGATGCTGACAGCACTCCCAACATCAAATGCAAATCCAACCACTGAATCAATGCATCCGTCAGGCAGAGGGAGTTTGGACTGTTTTTGAAAAGTGGCTTTTCCAAACAAGGTACATATCCTGTCACTTGAAGTACACAGCTGGTCTGTGTTAGGAGGTCACCAAGGCACATACCATAGGTGAGACACGTGAGTTGGCCTCAGATGCCCTCAGGGCCTGCATTTATGTGTAGTGTTGCCCATTGGATTGATTGACCCGACACACCTGTGTAAAGTTAAGCAAGTGCATACAGTAGTGTGTAGGCTCGCATGCCGTGAGCTCCATTCCTGCACTGGGATGCACTAGCATTGGCTCCTGTGTCTCTGAGAAGTCCAGTTGAGCAGGGGTAGCCAAAAATCCCCAAAACACCCCCCCACCCCGGGCGCGGTTTCTATGGTTCATTTTTTGTTTCAATACAGAAGGAAACCAAGATCTTTTAAACATTTTTGGGAAAGAATAAAACATGAAAGGAAGAAGCTTAGCATTTAGGGTGCTCACAACCTGCCAGGTGGACAACTTGGGTTGAAGTCCATACGCTGAATCAGCCAAAGACAGGTAAAATGGTGCATGAAATAGTACAATTGATGTAAACTTTGAACTTGGGGGAAGTTGCACAGGGATTTAGTTTATCTTCAGAATGACACTGGTGTGTTTTCTAATGTCTCATCCTACAGAACTGAAAGGAGGGATTTTGCCAAGCTTTGTGACTGTCTCAGCCTGGAGGAGTAATATCTTGATCTTGCCTAGCATTCTTCACTGGTGGATCTTCAGGGGTACTGCAAAGAGAGGTAAGTCATCTGTTATATGGAGGAGGAAACAGGCACAGGAAAGGGGAGGGGGAGAAGTGACTAACCTGAGGTCACAAAGTAGACTAGTGGCAGAGCTTGAGTCCCAGTTGAGTCTTTGCACTAGGACAGTCTGCCTTCTGGGTCATTTCAGCCACTGCTGAAACTCAGTGAGGGCTTAGCTAATGGTCAGATGGGGAAGAAAGGGAAGACGCCCGTATCCAGTAGGAGGAGATCTGACGTGGCAGGAGTTCAGATGCTGTCAAAAGAGCAGGGAGAAGAAATTCAGTAAGAGGCCTAGGGGCTTTAAGTAAGTTGTTTCATTTCTCTTTCCCTTGGCTTCCTTCCCCCTCTGTGTACTGGGAAGTGGGACTTCTCATGCAAGGTATTCATAAGCAAAGCTGGAACCTGGGGCTCAACACTTATCTAAAAGACTGTGCCTTTGGCTGCATAGAAGTACCTGCCCCAATGCCCAGCTCTGTTGGAGGGGAGAGGACTGCATCCCTTCCTGCAGCACCTGGTCTCCCAACCAGCAGTGATTCAGTCTGGTCCAGACTGGCCTACACACCTCAGGATCTCAGAGCAGAAGCAGTAGGGAGAAAGGCAAAGCTTTCCACCAAAGTGGGATAAACATTATCTCATCCCATCCTTTTCTGGCTTCTAAGTTAATGAGTTAACCACAAGTTACAGCTGATGTCTTTTTATGGGTCTCCTTAGAAACACTGCAGCAGCTAAGCTGTCCAGAATCTGGAAGCGTTCTGCTTCAAATCATTTCCTAGCTCTTCCCACTTGCTATAATGCAAAGTTAAGAACAATCTTAGAATAGCCAGGGGGGTGTAGAAACCCCTCCCTTGGGTTACTTCAGACAAAACTGCAGTGGAGAGGAAAAGGGCCCACTTGAATGTTCCTGAGTGGCAGGCCTCTTAGAAGGTGCAAGGTTTCCTCCCTACCTCTCCTTTTTGATGTTTTGCAGGCAGAACTGTATGAAACCAGGGCGGATTGAAGGGATTCATAGTGCACAGAGCATGGTGGACCTTCAGGGAAGCGCCCCCGTTAACTTTCAAGTGAGTCAGGGGTTACCACTGTTTTGGATGGAGACTGTGAAATGGAGCAGCTTGCCGGAGTTGTATGTGGACTTTGGGGTAGGGCTAGTAAAGGGGGTATTTAAACCTAAACCAGCCCAGAACAAAACCATCTTAAAAACAAGTCAACAGAGACCACTGTGCCTTCCTGCTGCTGAGAACCCAGGGGCTCTGGGAAGCTGCTCAGCCTACAAGGCAGCTTAGCTCTGTGGAGAAGAGGTATTTGCCACCTGTCTCCACTGGGTGCTAATTACTGATGATCAATGTGCAACAACCCCTCTCAGCGTGAAATCCCTGAGCATTTCAGAGGCCCCAGTGCCTTCAGCCTTGCAGCACACCTGCGCGGAAGAGGAGGGGCCTTTAATTGAGACGTGGGAAGCCAAGGTATTAAGACAGCAGAGTGAGCCACCTGAGTCTGCCCAGGGCATCAGTAGTAGTCCCAGTTTGTCTGATTCCTAGCCCTGTGTTGTAGCCTCTGCCCCTTGTTTCCCTAGAAGTCGGCCCAGGCCTGTGGGCACTTTGGAAAAAAGCCTCTCCTAACTGTCCCACAGAGGTTTTCTCGTGTGCTGCTGCTGAGGTTTGTGTGAGCTGCTATTTTCCACCCTCCCGCTGGATTTTCTCACGGCGCTCAGGCCTGGGAAACAGAGGGACGAAGGCTTGTGTGCAGCCCTGACAAAACAGCTGGAATGCCCCTCCCTGCTCTGCTCCAGGCCTTCCCCTTTTGTTCCATGCAAGGCATCGCAGAGCCCAGTGTTAGAGGACGTTGGCGGAGCCTCTTTGCCACGCAGGGAGCCCACGCAGCCCCTTGCCTGACTCCAAAACCTGCTCCTTTCCCCAGGATCAGCTCCTGCCTGCAGCTCTCCATCTTTCCCAGCAGCAGCATCCTCCAGCCCTGGCTGCATCTGCATCCTTGTCAGCCCCCTCCTCCTCTGGCTTCTCTCATTCTCCTTGTGTCTGCCTGGATGCAGCAAGCTTGAGCCTAAGGGAGTGGCTCGCTGTGCCCAAGGGGAAGCCCTGCAGCCTCCAGGAAGGTTGGAGTAGCAAGCGGCTGCAGCAGGCAGGCTGGAGAGCTCCTCCTCCGCCCCCCTGCAACCTGGATGCTGAGAAGAGAGAAGGTAAGGAGGGACCTGGGCTGGTGGAGGGTGGAGAAGGCAGCAGAGGATGGGTAGGGGCTTGGTATTTCAGCCCACATTGGGCCACCCACAAAGGAGAAGGGTGGATGAACCTGGTTTAGTTCCCTGGTGGTAAATGCTTGAGGGTCCCTGGCACTAGCAGCAGTGCAATCCAGCCTCCCGTCTCCTTGCTAAAGGATTGGTCGTGGCAAAGCATTGTCCTTGGGCTGGGGGAAGAAAAGGCACGGCCCTTATTATGGGCTGTGTTTTGTGCTAAGGATGCTGCTGCGGTGGCGTTCCCACTTGGCTTTGCTGCAATTGAACTTGGGCGGCTGGGGCAGGCGGGGGAAATGGTGGATGGACGGACGGGAGCAGCGAGCTTGGCTTTGCAGTGTGCTGCGGGAGCACCCCTCTTTGCTGGAACACACCCACCTGCACACACGCCTGGCCAGGGAGACCAGCCTGGCTTGATTTGGATGTAAACTGTGCGTCAGTATTGGCTCAGCGGCGAGGGTGTACGCGCATGCGTGCCCACATGGCCAAGCAGGATGGCACCATCCTCTTCTTACCTTGCATCGAGCAGGAGCCTGTAACTTGAGAGACAGGGATGATAGTATTTGCCATCATCTATTGCTGAGCCCTGCTGAGCTCTGGTACTCGAGCGGGAGCAGATCTGCCTTTGTCTGGTGGTGGTTTGTCAGTGCGGTCCTGCTTGGTTGGGCATCACATCTACCTTGTGGCTGTCTCATCCTTTAACTGTTGGCATTAGCTGTGTGACAGGAATTGTCCTTGTCCTGTTTGTAGCTGGGAAATGCCCTTCTAAGCAAGGCCGCCCTGGTCTGTGGTGTTACAATTTGCATAGTGCTGTGGGTGCCCGCATATAGATCTGGTCTCTGCCTTGGGCAGCTTCCAGTGCGAGCCAAATCGCGCCTGTTTTGGCAAGCTGGTATCAACTAAAGCAGCACCCCTGGTGTTACTCCTAGCAGCGGGGCAGGCTGGGCTGCGAAGCATTTGGAAAGCGCTGTGAAGACAAAGCGTTATGTCAGTGCCCCGCATTATTTACTGCTCTATGGATTGTCAGTCCAGGGGGCCTTGTGAACCCGGCTTCAAAATTCATCCTGCTGGGAAGAGTGTCAAGTTTCAGCAGCCTGACTGCTTGGCAGAGAGGTTTCCTTGAGGGTGACTTGCATTTTAAGGAGAGGTTTTCTTTTTATTTGCAGTGTCTTGTTGGATTTGCCTGCCTTCTCCTTTGCCCAGTTTGCTGCTGGGCAACGGTCCTTTATCCAGCTGTGCTCAAGACACCGCTTTAATCGGCACGCTTCAGTCCTGCCCTGTCATTGCTGGAAGTTGAGGCTTTCAGCGCAGCTGCCTGGCTGGTTTTGAAACTTGGGTCTGGTATTTGGCAGGTCAAGGAATGGCTTGCCGGCTGCTAGGCTGTTTGTATGTAACCCGTTTCCATTAGTTGCCTCCAGCAGAGGAGGAAGATGTGCAGTCGATCAGCTGTGCTCTCCCTGAAAGGTGTCAGTCACCGTGCCTGCCAGGAGCTATTCCCCTGACAGGTGTAGGACTTCCAAGGGATACCCCAGAGGTTGGGCTGTGCTGGAGGTGGAGCCAGGGTGTCAAAGGGGGATGCCGATAGACCAGGACTGGCTCCTAGGAATGAACAACTGGGTTTTCCAGGGGATGGTGGTGTGATACAAATCATGGCCTGGGTTATCTGCTGAGGACAAGATTTAATTGCCCCTCCCATCTTTGCTGGTTGGCCCCTTGCCATTTCCAGTCCTGGAGGCTGCTCTGATTTACACCGGCTATCAGTCTACGCCCTCTCTTTCCCCCACGCACGTCATCTATTTTGGCAGAAATAGAGGAGATGGCTGTAACCTCACAAGGGACCTCCCAACACCAAAAGGATCCCTAGTTATGGAGGTGCTGGCCCTGGAGGTGGTGGAGTAGCAGGTCTGAGACTTTGTCTTCATGTTTGTTTTAAAAGCTCTTATCCACTTCGGACCATGAAAGCTTGGAAGCATTTTTTTAAAATCTCTCTCCTCACTGCTGATGCTTTCAAGGGACAGTAGATATACTTACACAAAGTCCATGCACCACTTCTGGGCAGGTTATGGCCGACGAGTGCGAATGGATTGCAGCATTGTTAATAAGTGGCTATAAAAGCTGTGGATTAACCTGGGCAAAGTGAGCTGGGCTGGAACGTGTTACTGCTCCCTGGGTTTGTAGAACGTGCTTTGCCCTCATTTGCAATGGCCAGACAAAGTATTTATAGACCTTAGATGACCTGATTTTTTTTTTTTTTTTTTTTTTTTTTTTTTCCCTCCTTTTCTTTTTATTCAGTGGTGCTGGGCACCCTGAGCTCCAGTTAAACTCAGTGACATTTGTAGGGATAGACGCATATGCTGGGTGTATGTATGCCCCTTGCTGCTATAGCTACTGTAGGGATGGCTCTTCATATATTTTCTATCTTTTCCTCTTGAAGCTCTTTTAATGTTAAGAATCCAGGTCTTGTTTGCCTTGGAGAATGCCCCACTATAGATTATGATGGTAGCTCCCCAGGCCTCCAGTCGATATCAAGGCCTCATTGTGCTAATCCAGGGGTGGACAATTATTTTGGGTGGAGGGCCGCTTACTGAGGTTTGGCAAGCCATCACATGACAGGCAGCCAGGGGCAGATAAATATTCATTTTCTAAATTTTTAGGGGCCCCGCGGGCCGGATAGAATGGCCTGGGGGCCCGCATTTTGCCCACCCCTGTCCTAATCGGTAGCGAGAGACAACCCAGCCCTCAAGTCCTCTGTGGTCCAGTTAGACCAGACAGACAAACAGCTGGGGAGGGAGAAATGAAATGAGTTGCCCAAGGTCAAACAAGCAGGTCGGGGCAAAGCTGGGACCTGATTGCAGACCTCCAGAGTTTTGAGTCAGGTGCCTCATCCCCAGGGCTGTCAGGTTTTTCTGAACTCGGTTGCTTTGCAGCATCTCTAATGCTGATCTGCAAGTGGTAAATAATCCATTTAGACTCTCCAGGCCTCTGCTGAGCTTGAATACCCGGCATTTGGGATACAAATTTCCTTTTCCCTTGTAATCTGGACATGATTGACAGAGAAAATCATTAAGAGACAAATGCAGAGCTTCCACTGATCAACAGTTACCTATGTTCCCTCAATGAGACCTTATTGTGGGATATTCACTTCTAGCTGGGATGCTAAACTATCCAGCTTACTTTCACCTTGTGTATGGTTCCTTTCAACTTCCAGTTGTCATGTCCTCCAACAGCGGTCTCCTGACTCAGGCTGGGAGTGGAGAGATGACTTCATTTCATATGACTCTGAGTCTGGCACTTTGCTTCAGCTTTCTGCACTCGCACTCTCTCTCAAAGCACATATGCACCCCTCTGCAAACCAAACAAAAATCCAGAAAAAAAACCAATTTATTTTTTTAAATGATTACCAGTAAGAGTGGCAACCTTTTTGCATGAGACCTTCTCCACTGATACGATCCCTAATGGAATGATATCCTTATTAGCAACTTTATAAAAGGAAAAAATGCAATCTGATCTAGGAAATAGCTAGGGTTGTTCTGGACACAGCAGAAGCAGAAGGAGCGTGTTTAAATAAATGCTGCCAAAGATTGTCAAATGCCCTTACTGCCATGTAGTGATGTCAACTCCAGTTTGATGACCTCAAATTCCATGCCAGTCTGGTGGGTGAGGATGTTAACTTTAGTATAACATCCTTACAAATAAGTTGCCTGCAAATAAGTCACCATTTGCAGGTGACTTATTTCCATGATAGAGTGTTTTATCCAACTAACTGCTGCCTGAGCACATAGGAAGAAGCATAGAGGACTTAATGGACTTGCCCAAGGGTACGCATCGCAATCAGTAAAAATATCTCCATCTCCTGAGTGCCTGCCCGGTGCATACATCAGGCTGCCTCTCAAGATGGAGGACGCTTTGTGTTCTAGTCTTATTAAATACTCATTAAATAAGTGACCCTACTGAAGCCCAGGGAGCTCTGAAACACTGGCAGGACTGATGTTTCTTACTCTCTTTTAAAAGGGTTGTGAGTTTTAAGGATCTAATTTCTGACACTTAACTTCCATGGTGGCTATGCGAAAAATCGCTTCGCTTCTGTTTCCCTGTGTGCAAAAGGGACTTATTGGCCCATTCTTCCTATAGAGTAAAATATTTCCAAATCGCCTATAAAAACAAAAAAAAGGCATGAGGTCAGCAAATTCCCATTGACTCTGGGTGGGTATTTCTTGGTGCAGCCCAGGGACTGGAGCACTGTTACCCGAGACTCAGGAAATCGGGTTCTCTTCCCAGTTCCAGGGTGTGAATTAAGGGGGAGCTTGGGGGAGCTGAGCCTCTCCTTCCCCCTCCACCCCCAATAAGAAACTAAAGCCCTCCTGTAAGATTTGAAAATCATAACCTGGGGGAATTGGATTGCTCCTTCACTTGGGTGGACTTGTTAATTAATTAACCGGTTTAATGCTTTTTGCAGACCCTCCAAGAGTCAAAGTGTAATTCAAATGCTGCCCAATTCTGCCACTGAGCTGCTGGGTAATCCTCAGCAAGTTGCTTCCTGTCTCTGCCTCAGTTTCCCTATCCATAAAATGGGCGTCGTGATGCTGACTTCCTTTACAAAGCGCTTTAGGCTTGTGGAGAAATGCTGTAACAGAACTGGGGATTACTCACATCCTTTGTGCTTTTGAGAATCCCACCAGCAGCGCTTGTAAATGAGCAATACAAATAAATCTATAGTCACTGCCCCAAAACTCTTGGTTTAAGTTGATACTACTAATAAAGTTATTTATCAAATGGATGCTTCACAGGACTGCAGTGAAGACTCTGTTCATACTGGTAACCTGCTTATCTGGGGTTTCCCCTGAATAAATAAATATAAATATAAATATATATATATATATTTTTTTTTTTTAGCTGTCTTAAATTATTTTGAGATTGTGAGCTTCTTGGCAGCACTTCCTGCCATGCCT